CCATATTTCAGACCCAAATTTATCTCTATTCCACACATAGTGTTATCAGATGTCTGTTATAAACAAGTTATTTAACAGCAGAAGTAATAACTCATAAAGCTATAGAAAATGGAACTTCTGTACCATAAAAAGAAAAATTGCACAGAATTGTACACCTTCCACACTAGCATTTATCTTGTGCTAACCTTTCAGGGGGCAACAGTTTGAGATCTCTGCTAGAACTGTGCAGTTCAACACATTTATTGGAAAGGGCACCACCATTCTTTGCTCTCTTTCCCCACTGAATGCGTCCGATTAAGTGAGCTGTAACTCACGAAAGCTTATGCTCAAATAAATTTGTTAGTCTCTAAGGTGCCACAAGTACTCATTTTCTTTTTCCCTAGTGAACGTAGTTGTGCAAACTCCTTGAAAACAAAAACCTTAATTTTAGGCAATGTTTCCATTACTTCTCTAAAGAAAGTGACGGAAGCCCCATTACTTAGGTAATATAAAACAAAACTGGCAAATCTCCAGAGAGTAATCTTGCATTAGCCAGAGTGGGAGGAGTAGACAAGATGGCCCAACTATCTTTGGTCTCTATCACCACTCCATTCACCCTGTAATGGTTTAGTTTAAGCACCTACTCTAATAGTTAAGTTTGCAACCAGTGAGCCACCTACCAGACTTCTGGCTAGAATTACCAAACCACCACCACCATTCCTTATTTATAGACACTTATCCCTACATCCCAAGTCTCTGGCTTCCAGACACACACAAAGAAAGACCAGGGGATAGACAGTGAGGAAAAAGCTAGTAAACTTAAAGCATGGAAGGTCTGTTAATCCAATATCAGTAAAGTATGGGTGCAAGTTTGGCAACTGTGTGCCGCACTGCTATACGGAACATATATATCACCCCTTTCGTTCCACAGCTCTTCAAGAGATAGATCTGCACTGACACACCATCGCTGGGGAGAAGGGAGGCAACAAGCTGGTGTACAGAGGTGTGGAGATTTTGACAAAGAACACTGGGATAATCCTCACCCAAGATGTGTCATGAGATCTTTAATCTCCATGCAGAGCCAGCAGGATCCTGGCTTTTAGCTCTCATCCAGAAGATCAGCACACAGCAGATGCCGTGATACTCAGTTTGCATCCGATGAAGTGAGTGTAGCTCACGAAAGCTTATGCTCAAATAAATTTGTTAGTCTCTAAGGTGCCAAAAGTACTCCTTTTCCTTTTTCAGTTTATCTACCTCAACAAAGAGTAAAGAACATAAGAGCAGCCATACTGGGTCACACCAAAGGTCCATCTAGCCCAGTATCCTGTCTTCTGACAGTGGCCAATGCCAGATGCCCCAGAGGGAATGAACAGAACAGGGAATCATCAAGTGACCCATCCCCTATCGCCCTCCTTGAGGTTCCATGTTTTTCAAGCCTGCTGGTTAGCTATCTGATACTCCTTGAGGTTGCTGCATAAGCAGCTTCTAGTGTCATCTGGTGCAGTGGTTCCAACCTTTCTTCATTTGTAGACCCCTAAAAAATTTCAAATGCAGGGGAAGACCTTTTGGAAATCTTAGACATAGTCTGCAGACCGCCCTGGGTCCAGGGACCACAGGTTGAAAACCACTGATCTGGTGTATTGTCCGTGTCTGACTGTAAATTCCCTGGGCCCAGGACTATGCATCCATTTATACAGCACTGACCATACTGTCAGCATTCAAATAGTACTCATCATGCAGAGGTATTTAAAGAGACTTTTTAAAAGGATGCCCCAGAATATCAAATAAATTGTCCAAAATGCACCTAAGAGAACACCAAAACCCTGGAAGTTTACATAGGTTCAAGCGCCCTTGCCCCTACTTACAAACATCCTCCACTCACATCCCGCCCCTGCCCCCCAAACTTACTGAATCTTTTTGTAGCTGTTTATTGGCCTACATTCCGCTGTGCTGCACCTGCTCTGCTGTATACCTGATCCCTCCTGCAGCCGGAGCAGCACTACACCACCTTATTCTTAATGAAAAAATACAGAACTTCATTTCCTCAGAAGACAAAATAATATATCAGAGCAGACAGACTCCAGAAGCCACAACGCACAGCTGTCCCACAGCCCTTACTCCCGCTGACTTCAAAGGGAGCATTGCCTGAGCAAAGAGTGTAGTCCTGGGCTGTGATGGCTAAGTGGTTTAGGTATTAAACTTGAACACCAATTGGGTTTTCCTACATAGGTTTGTATCACACTCAGAGTGGCTGAGACTTTAACACAGACCATAGAATTATACAGGAGGTCAGGCTAGATGACCCAACCATATCTTCTGATCTTAAAATCTAGATGTGGGAACTTCCCACATCCCCCATTAGCCCCCTCCCACAATCTAAGCTCTTGTTTGAGCTGTTGGTGCTTGGATATATTTTTGTTCAGGAACATTTTTATACAGATCAGTAGGAAATGTTTTTTAAAGAAGCATGCTAATTTTTAAAGAAGTTTATTATCTACCTCTTGTTGTCCCAAAAGTAATAAGGAAAGTAAATTAGAGGGACGAAGTGAGAGAGGTAACATATTTTATTGGACCAGCTTCTGTTGGCGAGAGAGAGACAAGCTTTCGAGCTTACACAGAGCTCTTCTTCAGGTGTGTGTACACTCGAAAGCTTGTCTCTCTCTCACCAACAGGTTTCAGAGTAACAGCCGTGTTAGTCTGTATTCGCAAAAAGAAAAGGAGTACTTGTGGCACCTTAGCGACTAACCAATTTATTTGAGCATAAGCTTTCGTGAGCTACAGCTCACTTCATCGGATGCTGTAGCTCACGAAAGCTCATGCTCAAATAAATTGGTTAGTCTCTAAGGTGCCACAAGTCCTCCTTTTCTCTCACCAACAGACACTAGTCTGATAAAAAAATATTACCTCCCCAACCTTGTTTCTCTAATATCCTGGGACTGACATGGCTACAACAACACTGCATACAAGAAAATAAATGTCATGTGGCTGCTTAAGACAGCATTTCATACATTGTATAAGGAGCGTAATAGATTTTAAAGAGAAGCAAGCAGCACCCCAAGCCCCAATCCTGCAAGCGGTTTCATGCAGGCAGATATCTGTGTCCACGCAATGCCACACTGAATAGGGCTCCACGCAGAAAAGGTTGACAAATCCTAAAATATGCTACAAGCTTTACATCCAAGAAAGAAAATGAGGTTCCTGCCCTGAAGAGTTTATAACCCATAAACCCCAATGGGTCCTACAATACATGAGTCCTGAAGAGTCATTTCTTCTGTGATGGCCACAAGTGGCTAGTTAATAATAAAAACAAAAACTCAGATCTCTCTTGTGGGTTTCTCAGTAGATCCTGTCTTCCGTATCCTTACATGCCTTATCCAGCCAAAAATACACGTAAGTAACTTCACGCACATGAGTAATCCCATTTACTACAAAGGAACATTTGCACAAGTAAAAGGTTAGCTAGATTGAGCCTTTACGGACAATTTGTGGGCAGAGAATAGGAGAGGAGATTAAATGAGCAGCATGTGAGACACAAAGATTTGTATGTTGTAAACAAATAAGTGCCTTTACGGGCTACTAATTACACCTGGGTTATTAAAAGCAAGAGAATTCAAAAAAGCCCAATTTACTATTAATGCACTTTGTTTACTTTTTGCATTTCTTTCAGTTGAGACAAAAAAAATTATTTTCTGCTTCATATATAGTCAGTTTAATTTTTGCTCACATATAATGATGTGCTGTAATGCTGGGGTTTCAAACATTTCTGTGGAATATTTTGTTTTATCATTATCTATTTGTATTACAGTAGTGCTAGAGGCTCCAACCAAGACACAAGCCCCACTGTGCAAGGCACTGTACAAAGACAGAGAAAAAAAAAAAGACAGGCCATACCTCAAAGAGCTTATAAACTACCCCCAAGAGCTATCTGCATTATTATTTTAATAAAAAGGAGGACTTGTGGCACCTTAGAGACTAACAAATTTATTACAGCATAAGCTTTCGTGGGCTACAGCCCACTTCATCGGATGCATAGATGAAGTGGGCTGTAGCTCACGAAAGCTTATGCTCAAATAAATTTGTTAGTCTCTAAGGTGCCACAAGTCCTCCTTTTCTTTTTGTGGATACAGACTAACCCGGCTGCTACTCTGAACCGATTATTTTAATGCGGTCTTCAGTTTGGACAAAGCTTGTTTCCACAACAGTGCGGAGCAAGTTTACCTGGACAGCATTCTGCATGGTCAATCTCACTGCCGAATGGACCTTCCACAGAGCACCAAGGAAAAGAGAATTGTTTGTTCTGTTTTGAGGCAAAGGGGAGTGTAAAATCAAAAACACCGGCAGCATGGGACGTCACCGGCCATTACACACGGGGAGCAAGGCCTGAGAACAGCGTGGATGTTTTGTGTGCAGGTGTGCGCTCACCTCTGTGTCAAGCGTGATAACCTACTTACCTGGCCTACATGCTGCTTTTTCTTTCTCTCTGTCCCGCCCCCTTCTGGAGCGGCAAAGGAAGGGTCTGGTTTTCATGATCACCGTGTTTCGGGGGAGCGGACAGGGATTTGATGACTCGGGGGGGGGGGGATGTATATATATGCACGGGCACACAGAGATATTTCAGGGCAGGGATGGGGTCTCCCTACTGTACAGCGCCTAGCACAGGGTGGGGCTGCACTGACATCGCCCCTCCCCCCCACCATGGCTCTTTAACCCCAGTTAGCCACGGCGGCCCGGGGGGGGGCCGCTGTCCCAGCTTGGCCAGGCCCCCCCCGTCGGGCCACGCTCAGCCTGCACACGCGGGGGTAAGCGGCTCCATCCCCTCCGACTGGGCAGGAGACGAGGGGCCTGGAGCCCCCTGGGGCCGGATCGAAGAGCCCCCGCACGGCCGCGGAGCCCCCCCCACCGCTGCGCCCTAGCAACCGCGCCGGCCCCTGGCAACCAGCTAGGCCGCGGCCGCCCCGGCCTCTCCCACCCGCCGCGGCCGGCCCGGGGCGCCCCGCGAGGCGGGCCCGGGGAGCGCTTACAGGTCGGCGCCGAGCCGCGTGAAGCCGGAGTTGAGGCAGCCGCGGGCTATGCGCCTCCAGAGCGGGTCCCGGCCGGCGAAGGCGCGCAGCCGCCGGCAGACCTGGCCCAGCCGGCCCAGGGCCCGCGCGTCCAGGTAGGAGCAGATGAGCAGCAGCAGCTCCTCGGGCAGGGCCCACAGGAGGGAGGGGCGGGCGGCCCCGCATCCCCCCTCCGCCTGGGGGGCCCGCGGGCTGCCCTTCCTCCCCATGGAGCAGCCCCTGCCCCTGCCCCTGCCCCTCCTCCGCGGGAGCCGGAGCTGCCGCCGCCGCCGCCGGGGGGAGGCCGAGCCATGGCCGGGGGCAGCCCCTCCCCAGTCACATGGGGCAGGAGCAGCGGCCTGTCACTGCCCGGGCAGGCAGGGCCTGGCCCCCTGGCTCCTTGCCCCACTCCTTGGGCCCCGGGGCTCAGAACATCCGGGGGGCCCCGGGCCGGGCTCGCCACCCACCCCCCGGGCAAGGCGGCCGCCCACGGGCCGGGGCGGCCCCGTGGTCGCCAATAACGGACTCGTGCGCCTCAGTGGCTGGCCAACGCCGCCAGGGCGCAGAGGGCGAGGGGTCGCCTCCCGCCCCCGGAGGAAATGCGGGGCCTCCCCCCACCCCGTATGCCCGGGCAAGGAAAGACTCATTCACGTGAATTAACAATACTTTTAACACTCTCATGCGGGGCCCCGAACGCCAACGTGGCACGCGCTTACTGGGCCGGGAAAAGAATAATGAATGGTAATTAATAACTGTGTGATTAGTGCCATCCTGCAGGAGCCTGGACTGATGGAGAGAGACGTGGATCGCTCCTGACCCAATGCGGAAACGCAGCCCTGCACGCACTGGGGCAGGCACATGTTATATTATTTATTATTATTAATTTACTAGTGTGATACGTTTTCATAGCATCTTCCACCCAGTCTGGAGCGTTTCATACAGGGAAGGCTCCTAACCCAAAACAGACATGCAGCCCCACTCGCCCCACTGGGATAGGCAAATAACACTCTTAACAATATCATACAAGCCCATAGCACTTTCCACCTGCCCAGAGTGCTATATACAGAGATTGCTTACCAATCACAGAACTCCAGACATGCCCCACAGTTAGAAAGGCAAATAGTTATTAACTAGTATCATACGATCACCTCAGAATATAATAGGATGACCGCAAGAGAAGGCCTTTATTCAATACTTAGGTCTTGATCCAGAAAAGCAGTGAAGTACGTGCTTAACCTTAAGCACTCAAGTAGTCTTATTGACTAAATTAGCATGTCTGGATAACTTGCATTCAATAGTTTTAAAAGAGCTGGCCAAGGAGCTCTTTGGAGCATGGATGTTGCTTCTTCATAGGTCTTGAAACGCTGAGAAAGTTCCAGAAGAATGGAAGAAAGCAAATATTGTGCCAAAAATTTAAAAGGGTAAACAGGATAGCCTCATTAATATAGGCCTGTCAGCCTACCTTTGATCCCAAGCAAAATAATAGAGTGACTGCTACAGGACTCAATAAAGAATTAAAATAAAGTAATATAATTAATGCCTAGCAACATGGGTTTATGGAAAATAGATCTTATCAAACTAACTTGATTTTTTAATGAGGTTACAAGTTTGATTGATAAAAGAAATAAGGCTGATGTAATATTCTTAGACTTCCATAAGGAATTTGACTTGGTACTGCATGACATTTTGATTAAGAAATTAGAATGATGCAAAATCAACGTGACATATTAAATGGATTAAAAACTAGCTAACTGATATGTTTCAAAATATAAGTATAAATGAGGACTCATCATAGAGCAGGTGTATTTCTAGTAGGATCTCAGAGGGGTTGATTCTTGGCCCTATGGTGTTTGATTCTTATCAATGACCTGCCATAAAACATAAAATCATTACTGATAAAGTTTGCAGATGACACAAAAATTGGTAGAGTGGTAGGTAACGAAGAGGACACGTCACTGATACAGAGCAATCTGGATCTCTCTGTACGCTGGGCACAAGCAAACAATATGTGTTTCAATACAGCCAAAGGTAAAGACCTACATGTAGGAACAAAGAATCTAGGCCATATTTACAGCATGGGAGACTATCCTGGGAGGCAGTAACTCCGAAAAAGACTACAGGATCTTAGTTGCAAATCAGCTGAACATGAGTTCACAGTGCAGTACTGTAGCTAATAGGGCTAATGCGATCCTTGGATGCATAAACAGGGGGATATTGAATAGGAGTAATGAGATTATATGACCCCTGTATTTGGCACTGGTGTGACTGCTGCTGGAACACTTGTCCAGTTCTGGTGTCCACACTTCAAGAGGGATCTTGATAAATTGGAGAGGGTTCAGAGAAGAGCCTTGAGAATGATTAAAGGATTGGAAAACCTGCCTTTCATGACAGACTCAAGGAGCTAAATTTATTTAGTTTATCAAAGAGAAGGTTAAATAGTCTATCAGTATCTACATAGGAAACAGAAATTTGCTAATGGAAGGCTCTTCTGTTTAGCAGACAAAGGTTTAACATAGTCAAGTGGCTGGAAGTTGAAGCTAGACAAATTCAGACTAGATATAAGGCACAATTTTTTAACAATGATAGTAATTAGCCATTGGAACAATTTACCAAGGGCTGCACGAGATTCACCATCACTGTTTTAAATCAAAATTGGATGTTTTTCTAAAAGATATGCTCTAGCTATTGGACATGAAGCAAGAATTAATTCAAGAAAGGCCTAGGGCCTGTGTATGCAGGAGGTCAGACCAGATGATCACAATGGTCCCTTCCGGCTTTGGAATCTATGAAGTTAAACATGTATGTGTAGGTGTTTGCAACTCTGGGGCCTTAATGTCCTGTGACTTGCAGTCCAATAAAGAGGTACAGAACTAAGAAATATTTGCATCAGCTAAAGGTCTGTTTGCAAGCAGTAATTATGCAAAGGATCAGATATAGGACGAACACAGTACTCTGAATAAAACATTGTGGGGTATGCACCTTAAAAATAAGTAGGGCTGTCAAGCTATTAAAAAAATTAATCTCAGTTAATCACGCGATTAAAAAAATTAATCGCGATTAATTGCACTGTTAAACAATAATAGAATACCATTATTTAAATATTTTTGATGTTTGCTACATTTTCAAATGTATTGATTTCCATTACAACACATTGCACTGTAAAAAAACAAAAGAAATAGTATTTTTCAATTCACCTAATACAAGTACTGTAGTGCAATCTCTTTTTCATGAAAGTTGAACTTACAAATGTAGAATTATGTACGAAAAAACCTGCATTCAAAAATAAAACAATGTAAAATTTTAGAGCCTGCAAGTCCATTCAGTCCTACTTCTTGTTCAGCCAATTGCTCAGACAAACAAGTTTGTTTACATTTTCAGGAGATAATGCTGCCCGCTTCTTGTTTACAGTGTTACCTGAAAGTGAGAACAGGCTTTCACATGGCACTGTTGTAGCTGGCGTCGCAAAATATTTACATGCCAGATGTGCTAAAGATTCATGTGTCCCTTCATGTTTCAACCACATTCCAGGGGACAGGTGTCCATACTGATCACAGGTTCTGCTCAATAACAGTCCAAAGCAGTGCAGACCAATGCATGTTCATTTTCATTAACTGAGTCAGATGCCACCAGCAGAAGGTTGATTTTCTTTTTTGGTGGTTCGGGTTCTGTAATTTCCACATTGGAATGTTGCTCTTTTAAGACTTCTGAAAGCATGCTCCACACCTCGTCCCTCTCAGATTTTGGAAGGCACTTCAGATTCTTAAACCTTGGGTTGAGTGCTGTAACTATCTTTCGAAATCTCACATTGGTACCTTCTTTGCATTTTGTCAAATCTGCAGTGAAAGTGTTCTTAAAACAAACAACATGTGCTGGGTCATCATTCGAGACTGCTATGAACATGAAATATATGGCAGAATGCGGGTAAAACAGAACAGGGGACATACAATGCTCCCCCAAGGAGTTCAGTCACGAATTTAGTTAATGCATTTTTTGTTTTAAATGAGCATCATCAGCATGGAAGCATGTCCTCTGGAATGGTGGTTGAAACATGAAGCATGAAGGGGCATACAAATGTTTAGCATATCTGGCACGTAAATACCTTGCAGTGCTAGCTGCAAAAGAGCCATGCAAATGCCTGTTCTCACTTTCTGATGACATTGTAAATAAGAAAAGGGCAGCATTATCTCCTGTAAATGTGAACAAACTTAGCAATTGCCTGAATAAGAAGTAGGACTGAGTGGACTTGTAGGCTCTGAAGTTTTACATTGTTTTGTTTTGGAGTGCAGTTATGTAACAAAAAAAACTACATTTGTAAATTGCACTTTCACAACAAAGAGATTGTACTACAGTACTTGTATGAGGTGAATTGAAAAATACTATTTATTTTATCATTTTTACAGTGCAAATATTTGTAATAAAAAATAGTACACACTTTGATTTCAATTACAATGCAGAATACAATATATATGAAAGTGTAGAAAAACATCCAAAATATTTAATAAATTTCAACTGGTATTCTATTGTTTAACAGTGTGATTAAACTGTGATTAATCATGATTAATTTTTTTGAGTTAATCGCATGAGTTAACTGCGATTAATCGACAGCCCTAAAAATAAGCTTTGTGTACTATTATAGATTTTTACCCTTCAACATAATCGCAAAGACTAAGGGCTCGTCTACACATACAGTGCTTCAGCAGAGTAGCTACATTGTGTCTGGTGAAGACGCTCTATGCCCATGAGAGAGAGCTCTCCCATTGACTTAATAAAACCACCTCCATGAGAGGCGGTAGCTCTGTCAGCGGGACATAGCGCTGTCCAGACCAGTGCTTATGTTGGTGTAAGCAACCCCTGAGTGGCATTCACCCCCCTGAGTGACATAAATTATGCTGACATAAGCCGTAGTGTAGGCATAGCCTAAATCTTGTCAGAAAGATGCTATCACCATTCCATTATTTATAAAAAAAAAGAAAAGAAAGAAAGAAGCAAGCTGAATGGGTCCAGTGCTGGAAGCATGTATTCCCAGGCATAGGTCATACTACTATGACTTCAGTGGGACTGTCTATGTTAGAGTTATCTACCCATATGACATACAACCACAAAGTATCTAAACATTTATTACCTACAGACTGCTCATAGTAGTAGGGACTAGAGGTAGTGAGTGTTTGCAGCATCAGACCCTAAGAACCCACTGGAATTACTCTACTTGTGTGTAAAAGCAAGCATGTAAAAGTGTTTGCAGGATCAAGATGTAAGGAGGCACTTGAGGATCTTGCCTGTGACTAATAAACATACA